GTTTTTAACATATTTGACCCCTGTGACCTTGAATATGGGTGAAGGTCATTCATTTGAACAAACTTTGAAGCCCTTCATCTCAGCATGCTACTGGCCAAATATCATTACCCTGGGCATTTTGGTTATTCAGTGGAAGTTATTAAAAGGTTTTTTAAGACAATTGACCCCTGAGACCTTGAATATAATTGAAGGTCATTCATTTGAACAAACTTGGTAGCCTTTCACCCTAGCATGCTACTGACCAAATATCATCTCCCTGGGCAGTTTGGTTATTGAAAAAGAAGTTGTTTTAAGTTTTTAACATATTTGAGCCCTGTGACCTTGAAAATAGATTAAGGTCATTTATTTGAACAAACTTGGTAGCCCTTCATCCCAGTTTGCTTCTGGCCAAATATCATCATCCTAGGCCTTTCGGTTATTAAGAAGAAGTCGTTTAAAGTAAAATATTGACGCCGGACGGACGGACGACGGACGACGCACCACGGCATAAGCTCACTTGGCACTTTGTGCCAGGTGAGCTAAAAACAACCTATGTTTACAGTAATACAGTGTGGAAGGATCCCTGTCCCAGTAAGTTGATGTAGAGAAACAAAGTCCTATAAGTGTACACTTCTGATTTATCTAAATTCTCTTAAAATAAAATAAAATAGTATAAAATAAATGAAAAGATGTTCTGCAAGTTCTGAGTGATGGTTCCCGCATGATGTATAATATTCTGTTAACATGTCCCAGCCTGCCTAAACATATTTACAATGTACATGTTGTATTTGCGATAACATGAAATAAAGAATAAATTGATAGTGACTTACAATATATATTTTATTAATGACAAGAATATGCTATGTTCAATATTAATTTGAAAACAGTTACAAGGATTTAACTCAAAACACAAATCACTGGTTCCGTTAGTGTATATATAACTTCAATATATCTACCACAGAAATTTTCTTTTTATCATATTTTTATATATATCAGGAACTTTCCGGGAACATATTTTCCTGCAGAGCACACAGCTTAAAGCACGAGACCTGGGTTTCGTCTTTCAGTCTTAAAGAGATCAATTTTCCTTTGTATTTATAACTGCCTTATGCTGACTTCGTATATAAAAACCATGTATTTATACACTACTCTGCGTCCGTTTTTCAATAGGAAATGCTAACAAGAGGCCCAATGGGCCTGCATTGCTCACCTGGTATAAAACTCACACTTGTAACCTTAAAAGTGATCTAAAATAAAGCTACAGGCAAAATATCAGTATTTATGATTAAAATTCGTTCAAAAGACTCTGTTTATTATTTTTAATACATTTCACCCCTGTGATTGAAAGTCGAACAAAGTCATTATGTTGAACACATTGTATAGCCTTTCATCTCAGGATGAAACTTGCAAAGTATAAACATCCTGGGACCCATGGTTATTCATAAGAGGTTGTTTAAAGATTTTAAACAAATTTGACCCCTGTGACCTTGAATATAAGTCAAAGTCATTCACTTTAACAAACATAGTAGTCCTTGATCCCAGCATATGCTACTAACTAAATATCAACATCCTGAGCCTTTTGGTTATTCAGAACAAGTT